AAAAAAAAGAGTCTGCTGTTTGTTTCATTCAGATGGTTTATGTAGCATTGTTTCACAAAGCTAAAGTCAGACCGTTCTGTTTTTTGCTTCTTTGTTTGGATTGTGATTCAAATGCTGCGGTTACCTCTAATTTTAAATGCAAAGAGCACAGGCAAAACCTGAGTTTGAGATTTCAGAGAGATTTCTTTCATTTCTATTATTTCTTTATTTGATTTGGATTTCAATGTAGTTTTGCTATTTAACATATTTCAATTTTACAAAGAAATGTGCAGCATTTAGTCTGAGAAATAATAAAAGAACACGTTTTCATTCATAATTTGTCTTAAATCTCATTTTGTTAATTTTTCTTGAGAAAATCGTATCTGTAGGCATTTAACACTTGAGTGAGGAGAGGCAAGAAAAAATGCACAAAAAACATATTTGCAAATATAAGTATCATTACAATGTTAAAAGTAACTTAAAGAGGCTGCCAAGGTTTACTAGACTATGGACTAGTTTTGACTCTTTGAACTTTGTTCATTGCTGATTTGAGTGGCGATGCTTTGCCCGTCTGTTGATGGCCCTTCATTTTTAACTAGAAATGTGCATGTTGCTTTTCTAATGAACACTGAACTTTTCAGTGGCTTATTTCCAGTTGCCAAATCCAGTGACTTGAAAAGTCTCAGTTTTCGACTCATTGCCACCAAATGCGTGACACTTGAAACGAAAGCCTCGAACAATGGTGGGACTATAGTCATAAATCGCATATCATTCTTTCCTGAACTCTCTACCGTCTGTTGCTGTAAATGACATTACTGGTTGATATGGCCTAATCTCAATAAAGTTGGCACACGTTTTATGTCCGTGAACTGGATCTCGCTCAGGACGTCCGCTTGTCTGTGGAGGCTTGGCGAAACCGCTTCAGATTGCTGACATCAGGAATTCTCCTCTGAATGAATGACACTTTTCTGTTCATTTACCGGTCCTCCATCAGCAATATCGGTTTTGGTTTTCTTTGAGAAGCAATTATCTATAGTACTGGGACGCTTAGCCTTTTTTGTATCTGTGTAAGTGCTTGGTGAAGAGCGTGAAAGATGTGTATTTACAACATGTTTTTCAAGCGATGATCATTGTAGCCAATCACAGACATATCTGTTGAGCACATGAACACAGCGATCAGAGGTATTTAAGAATCCACTCAACACGCTCAAAATGCTAGCGGGAAATGCTGGTATCGTGACATTTTTAAAATTTCAGTAACGACGTCAGTACTTTTGACAATTGTTAAATACGTAATATTATTGTTAAACAGTAAAATCTGAAATTCCATGACTACACTAATTAGATACTGATACCCTCCCAATTGGAATTGGAAAGTTACAGAAATCCTGTTCTACCATCCAAGCGTTTTTATTAGCAATTGACTGTACTACTTTGCTTAACAGGTGTTTACTGAATGCATGTTTTTTTTAATAGTAATGTCAAATGTATTAGTAATCAAATCTTCCTATTCACAGGGACAAAAGTTCACCAGAATGAATTTCCACAGGCTGATTCAAAAAAAGGGGAAACTATGAATTAAATCATGGTGAACAGATGGTGTACAGGATACTTCCAACCCATCAACACACACACACACACACAAACACTCACCTAATGCGACAGAAGAAGGATTTCTCCTGCATGCAGTCTGATGGTGACGACTCTTTAAGGAGGAAAAACAAGAGTGATGAGTTCAGGTTTAATACAACAGCATCTTGTCTTTCAGAGGTGACTTAATCAGCTGGCAGCTCAAGCTAATACTGGTTGCTGCTTCATGGATTCAAGAACAACAAAGACGCCTCAATAATTAGCAATGGTTTTGTTAATGAATAAGAAACAGAAAGCCTTTTGTATCTGTGCACATTTGTGCTTGTGTTTTGTCACCTTTAGGTGAAATAAAAAAAATATTTTTTTTTTATTCTTGTGTCTGTTTTAATTTAACTATAGTTATTATGACTGATGTGTGTGTCGTACCTGCGCCAGTGCACATGCTCCAAGACGGCAGTCTGTAGGTTGTGGTGAAGCTATAAAACACACTAACATCCTGCGGTGTAAGAAACTCCACAAACTTAGCATTCTTGAATACGTCCTGTTTGCAGTTCAAGATGGAGGCGGCCTGGTCTGAAATATAGACAATCTTTCCAGTGATGAGTGACACCGCCACTGCAAAGATATCCTGTAAAATATAGATCCCATGATCAATGATTACGAAAAAGAACAACTGAAATATGAAATCATGCAAGTGTTTCTGTAAAATAACTAACAAATAAACTGGAATAAATAAATGTACATACATAAATAGAAAAAATTTGAAAAATAAATTGAAAACATATACTTACTGTGTTTTTGAGGGTGTATTCAGAGGTGATGCTGTCTATCTCCTCTATGGTATATGATGAAACGTCAAGCCCTGATGGCTGACTATCATTAATCATAAGCAGCTGGTAGTATTCTTCATTTGCTGAAATAAAAATGACAAAATAAATGCATTAAGCCAGTTCAATTAAGTATGTGATATGTGCCTAATAATAAAAAACATGAAAAACACATGTAGTGAATTAGCTCAGGTTCGACTGGTTACTTGAGTTCTATCCACTAATGAAAACCAATGCTGTATTAGATATATTGTCACATTTCACAACCAAAATATATATGAAGTCCTTCACAATAACTGATTATTATTAATTGAGATATGCATTGTAAAATAACAATCTAAAAATGGGCAGACATAAAACTGATCAGCTTACTGATCATGTGACATGATGTTCACCAAGAGTTGCTGAAATATTGCTTGTATTACCAATGGACTTGTTTGGTCTTAAATGTGTTGTTATATGCACCTAGGCTTCATTTGCATTGCAAGCAAAATAAAACTCATAAAATATATTGATAATTTACTAGACAGTAGCACTATGTCCCTGTGATCAGGCAAGTGTTAGGGATGATGTAATGATATACTGAACATCATAATGTACTGCTCACCCTCCACCTGTCTGACGCAGCGCAGGGCATATTTCAGAGTGTTGAGCGTCGTCGACTTGCTGCCCTTGTTCCGCTTTTCCGGCGGCAAATGAAGCTTCAACTCTTTCAAAGTTTTAAGCAATTCTTTCTGTGTCTTCGCCTTGGCGGATTCTTCGCTACTGCAGGTGCCCAAAAAACACATGCACAAATATGTCAGCAATAAAACCCATTCTAAACACATCATTCTCCTCTACTGCTAAATATAATGATAATGATAATATGCAAAGTACAGAATATATCAAGTTTGAATGAAATTATGCAAGTTATTTTGTAAACATTTTGAAAATAAATAAATATTTGTAGCAAACATAAAAATGTTTGGCTAAAAGAAAAATGTAGTTCTTTATTTATGGGTCCAGAACAACTTAATATGAAACTTAAATAAATACAAATATTTTACAAATAAAATCACATAAAAAAACTATAAAAATTTAATAAAAAAAATAAATAAAAAATAAATAAAATAAAATATAAAAAAAAAATAAAAAATAAAAAATAAACTACAAAAAAAATAAAAAAAATAAAATAAAATATAAAATAAAAAAAAATAAATAAAAATAAACTACAGGTACTGGTAGAAGGGTCATGTGTGTTCATGTTTAACCTGCAGCCGCTGGAAGATGGGTTGTCCTGCTCTGAACTGGCACTCAGAAGGCTGAAGGCGTTCGTGCTGCTGGGCGGTGAAGGACTATGAGAGTTGGAGCTGTAAAAAGAGTGAAGACACATGAAGCCATCATAAAACAAGTCATAAACTACAGACAAATCCTTTATGAATAGTAATCTCCGCAGATGTCATTTTATCAGGTATGATACCCTTTATTGCTTTACAATTGTGCTTAAATGAAGTATAAAATGAATAAAGTGGCCCAAACCACACACATAAAAAAAATAAATAAAAAATAAATAAAATAAAATATAAAAAAAAAATAAAAAATAAAAAATAAACTACAGGTACTGGTAGAAGGGTCATGTGTGTTCATGTTTAACCTGCAGCCGCTGGAAGATGGGTTGTCCTGCTCTGAACTGGCACTCAGAAGGCTGAAGGCGTTCGTGCTGCTGGGCGGTGAAGGACTATGAGAGTTGGAGCTGTAAAAAGAGTGAAGACACATGAAGCCATCATAAAACAAGTCATAAACTACAGACAAATCCTTTATGAATAGTAATCTCCGCAGATGTCATTTTATCAGGTATGATACCCTTTATTGCTTTACAATTGTGCTTAAATGAAGTATAAAATGAATAAAGTGGCCCAAACCACACACATAATACTGTATATCTGCATCAATCTCAAATTGTTTGACGTCAGGTTTGACTCAGAAACATAGTGTATCCACGCAACGAACATGACGACATTATTTAGAAATGATTCATTCAGTATGCCAGCTGAAGCCAGTCAGGACCGGCTGTTGCAAGAGAAAAAATCAAGCAGTAGCTTCTGCTCAAAACCTCATTCTCACAAAACATTTTCAATCATTGTGGACAATCAAACAGAAAATAGGTGCTCCTGTTCCACATGGAGGTCACTTGGACATTGCCTTCCATCTCAGTTATACAATCTTCACCTGTCCACTATCCTTACTTTACCACAAAAACACGACGCCATGCGTCATTTCCCAGCCAGGCCACCATTAGCACAGCTATGAATAGCTTGCATTGCAGGCTTCTAGTATAGTAGTTAACTGAGACAGACCAAAGACGATTAAACCGCTCAACTTAGTGCGTTGATACTATAACAAGTCCAAAGTTCAGCTGCAGGTGACATGCTGAGGGACATAAATACACCAGGAGTGATTATAAATAGCCCACTAAGTAGCTTTGAATAGAAACGGGCTTCACATGTTGCACTTCTTAGCTGTAGGTGAGTTAATTATATAAAGCACATCTGTGTTAGTCTTGCAGGGCAATGTGTTTCGATGCTACTGGTACAGTCAGTCATTTCAGGAGGCTAATGAGATTGGAGAATTTAGAAGATTATTTATACAACTACACATGCAAGGAAGTGTGGCCTTATAACATGCTGACTTAGCCTTCAACACACTTGAACAGGCATACTAGTACAGGAATGTAAGTTTGGGAAAATGACTATTATGGGTTTGTCAAAGGCTGATGACAATGGAGAACATGATGGCCAATACAATACATCCCAATAAATGGCAGAATTTGCCATATCGCGCATTATGACTTCATATCAATTTGTTTTCTTATTTGAAATGTTTTCACACAATTTTGTTTTATTTTTACACTGGCTTCAATACTTGGCAACCAATGCTTATTTAGTTTTGTTTGGGTCACATTTTCTTTTACCTTGCATAGTTTTGTTCATGATTTTTTAAAGATGATGTTTGATCAAATTAACATTTATTTTAAATTATATAGATACACTTCATTCAAAACTATGAAAACAATACATGTAGTCAAAGAAAAAGTACTTAATCATATTATTTGAAATCTAAGCAAAAAAATGTGTCTTTCTCTTCTAAACTTGATTTCTTTGCTTTCGATTAATGCAATTCTCTAAAATGTGCAATTTACTAGATTACATTATTTATGGTGGATGTGAACCAATCAAGTACTTGAAAATATTTTTTGCTAAACCTAAATGAGGAGAGTAAAAATGAAATGAAGTGTTATTTTATGTGTTTTTGAGCTACATGAGAGAGGGGGAGACTTGATGGTCTTTAATAGTGTTTAATGTTCAATTATGTTATTAGATTAAATTATGTTATTATGTAATTATTATGAGTTATTAGAACCGTTTAAATTACACTGGGTTACCATTATGGAGAAGAGTGGATAATTTGCTTAGGCTGTAGACTGGTACATGCAGGCTATTACTGCTTTGCTCAAGGACCATTTAATGCTTAGCATTTAGCATTCTAATATGTGCTATTGTTAACTCATAGCTTCTTAGCTATCTAGTGCAATCTTATAATTAAATCATGTGACAAAATATGTGATACTCAAAAAATGAATTGTCATGGAACCAAAGAAAATCACTTTGAGACTAGTTAATTGGGTCAGACTGTGAACAAATTATGTTTGTTTAACTGTTATTAATTGATTCATGTGACACCAATGTCCATGATTAAATCAAGTAAGTCCAACGATACGATAGACAGATGGATGGATGGATGAAAGACGGATGGATGAACGGACGGACAGACAGATAGAAAGATAAAAAGATGAACAACAGACAGATGGATGGATGGAAAGACAGACGGACAGATGGATGGATGAACGACGGATGGATGAAAGAATGAACAACAGACAGACAGACAGACGGACAGATAGATATATGGATGGATGGACGGACAGACAGATAGATGAAAGGATGAATGACAGATAGATAGATAGATAGATAGATAGATGCTAGACTCTGTGTTCAGAGTCTAACAATTCAAATTCAAGAACAATCAATATATTCTTCTTTTTTATAAAGTCAAAGACTGACTGCTAGCTAAGGAAAAAAGTTGTAGAAGAGAAAGAAAGACTGACGAAAGGCAGAAACTCTCAACTTTTCCAGAGCTTTCACTGGACCGCACCCATCCTGTACACAAGGACAAACAGTATTTTATCAATGGAAACCATGGCGCATATGTCTGGGAAATACTTACAGTGACGCACTGATGGAGCTGGGCACTACAGCTGTCCAGAGTTTCCACTCAATTTCCTTTTCAGAATGGATACTACTATACTAGCTGTCTAGAAATCTATGCTAATAATATGCCAAAACTTGAAATGAAAAATGGTTTGAAAAAATATGTTCTGATGATTAGATCCAAAGACTTGGACAGACTTAAATGCCAGCTCTGGTAGTGCGAAAGTTATAAAGCAGCCTATAAAAGTTTCCAGATTTCTAGGTCAATTTATAAATATTATTATTATTATTGTTATTATTACATTAAGTAATATCCTACCAGATAGGATAGGATAGTATTTAGAGAGGAAGTGAGGTGGGACAGAGAGAGGGGGTGGGATCAGGAAAGGTCTGTGAGACGGGACTCGAACTCGGGCCGCCCGAAGCGCAATGGCGCTATATATGTCAGCCCGCTGCCCATGAGACTATTGGCAACGACAGGTGCTAATATTTTTAATAAAAATTTATAATATGGTATTGTGATATTAAAATATTTATTTATTTATTTAATTTCCTCTTATTATTATTTTGTCTCATTAATTTCCTGAACTGAATGAGCTCTATAAAACAGCATTCATATTTGGGTATCATGTGATAATGATTCTTCACAGTGTCTTGAGAGACGCATTATGCTGCCTGAAAGAAAACAACATTCTGTAATTTTGGCTTATGAGGAGGAAATAACTAATAGTTCAGTCATACTTACACTTTTAGCCAAAAATAAATTAAATACTGATGCTGTAATGCCATGTGAAACACATTGGAAAATTAAACAACCACGGTCTCTTATCTACATTTAAACACAGCTTAAGTACAAAAGTTTTTATATATTAGTTAATGGATTTAATTTAATGCCATCAACCTCACAATATATTCTGTAGTCAATACCAGGCTTTGTTTTGTAAAAAATCAATCAATCAATCAATCAATCAATCAATCAATCAATCAATCAATCAAAAAAAAAAAAAAGAAAAAAAAAAAAAAAAAAAAAAAAAAATTATTCAAATAAAATAAAATAAAAAATCTAAAATAAAATAAAATGATTAAAAAAAACAAACAAAATGGGCTAGATATGGCCATGGCAGATAAACATCATAATTCAATGAAGCAGAACCAAATATAACTCTTGTTGACTTTATTTAATATCTTTGTTTGAGCACAAATATTTAAATGACAAAATTAATCCTTAAAAATAAACATAACGCACATGTTGGTGTTAATGAGATATCTCAACAACTTTTCACCATGGTAGCGTCAAGCTTTTTATTTGCCACTTCCAACATCTGGAACATCTGCTATGGCAACCACGATCATCACGCTTCTATTTTTAAATCTCTTGAAAGTCTTCACAAGGAAGCATCCCATTAAAGGGATACTCCACCCCAAAATGAAAATGTTGTCATTAATCACTTACCCCCATGTCGTTCCAAACCCGTAAAAGCTTTGTTTGTCTTCGGAACACAATTTAAGATATTTTGAAAATATGATGAAAACCGAGAGGCTTGTAACTGTCCCACTGACTGCCAAGTAACTTACACTGTCAAGGTCCAGAAAAGTATGAAAGACATCGTCAGAATAGTCCATCTGCCATCAGTGGTTCAACCGTAACGTTATGAAGTGACGAGAATACTTTTTGTACGCGAAGAAAACAAAAATAGCGACAGTTTTGGCCTTGCAACTGAAGGCTTTGAATACACACAAATAATTAATCAAATGTCACTGCATGTTTTTGTCGCAGAATAGTTTCCAGTGAACTTACAATAACCACAAAAATAAATGAGGTGAGAACAGAGGCTAGAAATGACGTCAGCGTTACTTAGGAGACAGAAAAACTCACTGTTGTTGATGAAAAGGTATTCAGATTCTGTGGTTTTACCCGCTATTGGCAAACCAAAACACTACCAGAGCACTTTAATGGTTAAACAAATTGCACGAGTGTCTGCATGCAACCCCTTGACATAGGGTTGCTACATGACTCAATAGTCAATACTGTCAAACAAACAAACTGTCTCCATGGAGATTAATCTAGAAATTGTGCAATCCAAATTATGCTTGTACACGTACAAGAAATAAATCTTTAACAATGTTATACATATATTATTAAATAATGTTATTTAACAATGTTATACACTGTTAAAAGTACAAATATTGCATGTAGTCTGTCAGTCAGTTTGAGGTCATTACAGCTGCATACAAATCATTAAAAAAAATATTAACATAATGCTGTTTATATATACACAGTATGGCAATAGTAGGCATGTCACACAGCAGGATTTGTTAACTTTGCAAAGATATTTTATCTATGCACATCAGTTCCAAAGAAAAGAAATGCTATTTACAATCATAACTATATAAAGACTGTAAAATGCTCAATAGTGAAATGTAAAGAACACATTGGCAGCAGTAGTCTTGAAAGGTGAAATGCTGGTGAAGCAGAACTTTGCCCTCAACAAAAGTTCAGTTCCTAGACCATTATAAGCACACTACACTACCTTTTAAAAGTTTGGAAGCATAACTGTTTTCAACACTGATAATAATAAGAAATGTTTCTTGAGCAGCAAATCAGCAAATTAGAATGATTTCTAAAGGATCCTGTGCCACTGAAGACTGGAGTAATGATGCTGAAAAATCAACTTTGCATCACAGGAAAAAAATAAATTTTAAAATACATTAAAGTAGAAAAAAATTATTTTAAATTGTAATAATATCTTTTAAAATATTACTATTTTTACTATAACTTTCATCAAACAAATGCAGCGTTGGTGAGCATAAACATAAATTAATTTATTCATAAACATCAAAAACCTTTACAGACCCCAAATTTTTGAACAGTAGTGTTATGAACGGTAGATTCAGAATAAAACAAAACGGTTATTTTAAATGGTAATAATTTCTCAAAATATTGCTATTTTTACAGGTGTTTTTTTTTTTAAACCAAACTTTTGAATGGTAGTGTATACTAGGTTTGACGCGATAGACGGTGCTGACGGTGATACCGGTGTTAAGCCGCAACACCGGTTACGTCACTTCCCCACTGCGGCACCGACCCCCACCGTCGTTTTGATTTTTTATAGAAATAAAAATCATTTAGTTCAGTAAAAGAACAGACACTACAATTAAAAACTGAACGCGGCTGCTCACTGCAGCGTGCCGAACGACAGTCGCATCACAGATCAGATTTAGTTTCTCCAGTGAGCAGAGGCCCGAGCTATTGAATCAGTATATCATGTACTTGAATCCGGGCACAAAGCTAAAGAATCGTGAGCACTTACCAACAAAACCCAGAAATTTTATGCCGTTTTACTCACGTCTGTGGTTCCATTGATGGGCGTGCACTTGCTCTCGCTCTATTTGCTGTATGTGCGCGCTCTTCCGGGAGAAGTGCCCATACAAGGAATTCTGCCCTTCATGATGTCATACAGGGCCATACTCAAAAAAAACTTTCAGAGACTTATCAGAACCCGAAAGTAGTGTAGTTGGCACAGAAATACTCTGTCATACATCCAAACCATTTTTTAAAACCGTGGCCATGTTTAGCATGAGCAACTCTTTAACAGTGTAAGTAACTCAGAATGCATTAAATAGCATTAGACCCCACCTTTAACAAGATGTGTTCATTAACTGTCTAGTGATGTAAAATATACTTTAAAAAATGGTTTGTCTTTTCAGATCTTCTATAATGTGTCTATTATATTTATTTAGTTGGCTTGTGATTTTTATGTTTCGCAGTTCAGAAATGTGGCGTAATTTCTGGTAGGGGGTCATAGTGGTTTTTGCAGTGTATTGTGGGATTTTTTTAGGGAGTGAAAATTCCAGCGCAATTGAGACAGGCCTTAAAATGGCTGACTCCCTGATCAGTGCCCTGCCTACTGAGCTGATAGAGATGCACACAGGGCCTTTGAGGCACCCATAAATATACAGACAAACAGAATATAACAAAATTACCTTTTGTTACTCGCCGATGACTCAAATAGTGCTGAATCCTTGCTTCGGCTATTGGAACTCCCAGAAGACTCATTGCCATGGGACTCATTACCATGGGATTCATTGCCATGAGACTCTGTTCCACTCCCACTGGACCTGCTGCTCTTCATCTCCACATCCTCATGGAGGGAATGGGCCATCTTCCGTTTGTTGTGGGGTGAGGTGGGAGTGTCTTGGCTGCTGTCGCTACCTTCAGATGCCAGGCCAAGTTTGGTCCCCTCCACGAAACTGCCCATACGATGCAGCGTCGACATTGAACTGCATCCGGCTGCTTCACTCTGCCCCTCCAGGGAGGAGAACAGATACGGTTTGGATTCTGAGTCTTCAGACATTGGAATAGGTTTGAAGAAGTGAAGCAAGGAGCCAGCAGATCAATCCATATACATCAGAGGGAATGTAGACAACATTTGTATTTCTACGGGAATAAACACAGAGAGAAAATGAGTCAATCATCTGAAATTTTCCATCTCAAATAGGGGTGTGTGATAATGACAAAAAAAAATGATTTCTGGAATTTTGTTGATAACGATAATTAGACGATATTTTGCCGAGCATGTTATTTTGCTGGTACTTTGAAAGGTTTAGGACTGCCGTGGACAGCTGACTCCCAAAGCTTTTGATATTCTTCATATTATGTGCGGTGGTTCGTTTGCAGGAGTAACAGAAAATAGCTTTTAAGTTTAAATAGATTTTTACCTTTTGTGGGCATTTTTACCTTTATGAGGCCAATCTTTTCATACCTAATTAAACGTATGCACCATCTTTTGTGGCAAATTCTTAAATGTAATCAATAAATTCAAATTCTAAGACACTACAGGGCTGTTACCAATCAAATGAAATCAGTATCAACTAAATTTGTGTTTGCAATGCAGCGGTGGCCCAGAATCTGCATCGGATGTGGCATTTAGATGCATTTACAAAGACAGGACATGAATGCAGTTAACCTGCAGTTACAAACGCATAAATAATGTTTTGATGTTTTAAAACAAAATGCTGAATACTGATATTTGAAATGATTGAGGGGGGATATACTTTAAATAATAATACCTAACATCGCCAGTATCACCGCATGAGTGGGTCATTGAGTCATTCATTCAACCAGTTCTTTAAAACGGCTGATTGATTCAGTAACGAACCACTGTTGTGCGTTGCTTAGAGACACAAAACAGTTCTGCTGTGGCTTTGTTTGGAACTATTTTCGTTGTCAAAATATAGCAAAAACAGGAACTTGTGTGTCTAAAATGCAAGTCAGATGAGACATAATATAAAAGTCATACAGGGGCATTTTTGCCACCTATTCTTGAATTTTGGGGGAATTCTAAAAGTATTTTAATAGACTAATTCACGCAGTAAAAGCGTGAACTCTAAACACGCACATGCAGTAGTCTACTATACATCAGGTAAGCATGCGTTGTTTGCACACCCCTAATCTCAAAAATCAGAAACCCTTGTCTTTTGACAAGTGGAAGGTATGCTTAAGTACGTCAAAAGAAACCAGGGCAAGATGTGACAAAACTAATCTGGATGCGATCACTGCACAGGAGATAAAATCACCTCTTCAGTTGCACGCTCTTCTAACGTCGCTCTCCATCAAAAGTAGACCATTGAAAGTTGAAAAAGTCAAACTCGCATCAAAGTGAAGTATGCACAACCCTCTCTGATCCACTACTGTGGTACAACCTATAGAAAGGGCAGGCATCTGTCTGGTCCCAGAGAGCCTAAACTGAGTGTTCAAAGGTGGGTGTCCCTGGCCTCCCCTCGTTGTGTCTGTCCAGTGTCCTTTAGCCAAACAGATGAGGCATTTCGGCTTGTAAACACTGCCTCCTTCAAAAGGATTAATCCCAGCAAGTGCACATAAAAGATGCTAGACAGCTGTCTGGACCAACAACAGGCCATGACTGGTTTTCATCCCTTCGTGTTGCCATTAAAATGGCAGGGGGAAAAATAAACTCTTATCCCTTTTCTCTGAAGAAATAAATAGTCTTCTGACCAGAGCCAAGTTTTCTGGTCCTGGTCAGGAACTGAGATGGGCCATATTAAGGTAGGACACCTTCAGGTTACTGATTTGTGACTTACCACTCTTACAGGATTGTAGGATTGAAAGAGAGTGGAGTATGTTAATGGATTACCTGTCTCGCATAATTCATTCACAAAAAATAACCTTTGTGGTCAGTTGATTAAAACTCATTGGAAAATGGCCCAAAAAAAAGGTGCAATGAAATTCATTCTATTCTTAAAACTTGGAACCTGCCCCCCGCCAAATGAATAAAATAAAATCATAATATATATATGTTTTTTTAAGAAGTATCTTCTTACCAAGGCTGCATTTATTTGATCAAAATACAGAAAAAACTGTCATATTGTGAAATATTTTTACAATTTAAAATAATGGTTTTCTATTTTAATATACTTTAAAATATAATTTATTTCTGTGATCCAAAGATGGATTTTCATCAGCCATTGCTGCGGTCTTCGGTGTCACATTAGCCTTCACAAATCATTCTAATATGCTGATTTATTATCAATGTTGGAAACCGTTGTGCTGATTAAATTTTTTTTTGGAACCTGTGATACTTTTTTCAGGAATCTTCGATGAATAAAAAGTAAAAAATGTATTCAAAATAGAAATCTTTTATAACAATATATACTACCGTTCAAAAGTTTGAGGTCAGTACAAAAATATTAAGCAGCACAACTTTTTTCCAACATCGATAATAAATCAGCATATTAGAATGATTTCTGAAGGATCATGTGACACTGAAGCCTGGAGTAACGATACTGAAACTTCAGTTTTGCCAGCACAGGAATAAATTATATTTTTAAGAATATTATAACAGAAATCCATTATTTTAAACTGTAATAATATTTCACAATATTACTGTTTTTACTGTATTTTTGACCAATGATTAGCTTAAGGGACTTCTATAAAAAATGGCAGTGCACATTTTGGAATAATACACTGAATTATATATTTAAAAATGCATAATTCTGACTTTAAATTCTGATTGGATTAGAACTTTTTTGTCCTCTTGACTTGTTTGAAACACGTTTCTTTGTCCTTCCTAAAGTTATATAAATCAGGTGATCTAGAGATGTGACCTTCAAATGACACATTATTAGCCATTAATGTGAACTTTCCTGTGATATACGCTGCCTGGGGGCCATGAAGAAGAACACTGCATTTTAATATAATTACAGCTGACAGACCTATATTGATATCTCTTTCTAAATCATATAGGTACTATTGGGAACAGTACATTGGCTAAAACATTATCTGCAGTGATTGGTAAAAACTAAATGGAAGAAACCATTTGAAACATAATTTTGAAGCACATCAAAGCAAATTTAACATTTTTACCAGACCACATTATAATTAAGTGTGTAGCTATTAGACTAACTAACATTATTAAGTTCTTGCTATCTTCTTATTAGCATATAAACATGAAAAACAAAGTGTAAATAATAAAAAAAATTGCAATATCAATTATATACATTATATTTTTTACCATAAATCTGAGACAAATTATGTAATGCAATTCAGAGCAATCAAACCAACAGTATTCAAAACCTTTACTTTACAAGGCAAATTCATGTACCTCCCTGGCCTCTTAAAATATCATGCCCAAGTCCACTGCCAGCAAAAGCACAATCTCACTGCCAATTCAGCATTTTTTTTTCAGGTCACTGACTTTAAGGACCAACAACTGCTACTCCATAGTAGATTGGCTGAATTCGTTCGTGTTTGTCTACAACACATGAAAGACAGAAGTCAAGAAACATAAATGGGACAAGAACAAGCTTTCCATAAGTTGAAGAACTTATGCAGATTAATTATACAGGCTTGTAGCAAATTCATTTATTGCATAGTATTATCTGGGCCTCAGCATCTTTCATTGTATTCCAAAACTCAACAACATAAATTTAATATTTCAATCTGCACCAAAAACAATACAAAACACTAAACCTAATAATATAAAACATGAACCACATAACCACCTTGCACGCAGTTTTATAACTCAGTATCATGTTTATGTAATTTATGTAACAATGTGTAGCAATGGCACATGGGCTACTACATGCTTTATATAAGGACTTACGTAAGTTCACAGACAGCTCTGAATGCAAATAGTTCATATTCCTCAAATGCTCACATTTCAACACAATTAGAACTAATTATGTGATGTCACAAATACTATGCATTTATTTTTGTGGTTTCAAATACTTCACAGATTTCAAATCATACTGAACTTCAAGCATCCGAACATCCTTGGACGCACTTCAGCACTTGGCATCAAAACCAAAAGTATATAACATACAATTCAATGTATATGCATATTTCAATTGTAAACAAGACATTTAGCAGGGCAAAGAAGACTGGGTTTAAGGTCAGGGTTTAAAGTTATACGGTAAAGTAAAAACACACTGTAAAAAAACTGCACACCAATGTGATTTTTCATGAACTTTACCAGGAGACGAAAACAGTTCACCAGTCCTGAAAAAGATTAGACACAGAGATTGATGTCTGTGCTCCATGATGTCATGGCGCGAATCCTGTGCCATCAGGTCATGGCTTAGAAATGCACTATTTCAGAGTAGCATGTGACAGGAAAACCGTTCTTAAGCTGTAGCTGTACTACACAATCTGTTGACACACATTTGTGCTTTTGGAACGTGTTGAGATTTGATCATATTTACAGATTCATGAATTTACAGAACCACAATACACAGCCTAGTTTTATATGCTTTAATTTGATTATCAGTAGAGCTCTCCAATTTTTTTAAAAGGGTTGAAGAGCGAAAAATAAACCATATTTAGTGCTTGGGGCAGTTGAAAATTTCACTGGTCCAAACTGAAAGTTTATCATTAGTACATTTTTAACTATTACCAATGTAAACATTTAAGTGATTTTATACAATTAAAGTGCAGGAAAATTCAAAAGAAAACTCAATTTGTGAACCAGAGGATGGGTACCAAACTGAGTTATATTTTTCGTCTTATCGTACTTGAATGGACAAATATTAGTAAGCCTAGTAGTTTTTGCATAGGTATCAAAATTTGAGTCGAGAATTGTGGAATTAAATTTTTTTTTTGTGTTGCAACAACCCTAATTATTAGAATGCAAGGTTACATGTGTCAGAAACAATTGTCAATTGTTATAACTACAAATATTAACATAACTATTTAAAATAGATAATTTGAATGAATGAATGAATGAAAAAACCTTAGTGTTTAGAAATTTTTACTGATTAACTACATACTTTGACCTATTTCAGTCAGTGAAAACTTTCATGAATGTGCCATTATCGCTCTAAAGTTTACTTTGGAAAACAAGAAAAAAACGACCTGCACACAGCTTAATTAACTTTCAACAAGCTACAATGTGACTCATTAGAACTGATGTAATGATGTAGCTGCTTGAGTGTCGCCTAGCCTTATATAAGGTCTTTGTGGTAGTCATTCCAAAGTGTCCTTGTAAACAGCTGTTTGGTAATAATGCAGACAGCTATAGTTAACCAAATCTTTCCAAGAAGACACGTGTGATTGGGGTTACACAAGGACAGGTGTGGAGACCTCCAGATTAGATTGTGTAAGTGTCTCATCCAATTCAGAATGTTTTGTTTACTCCATGAATTATTGCAATGCACACTCGAGTATTTGAGACCTTTCAAGCCCTCAGTTGACTGTCCTGTTTCTCATCTACTGAGCCACTCAACAAACTCAAGTTAAACTTGGAAAGATAATATCAACGAAAGCTTTGGCTTGATGGACTGTGCATGTGGCACTCTGCCAACAATAGTCTCTAAATACATAAAAATGCACCCGAGGACAGCCTTCGTGCGTCATCACTTCCTACCCTCCTACTGCCTCTGCTGCAGCAGCCAATCCCATTTCAACTGCCAACGTTTTCAGGCTCTTGTTGAGCGAGTCTTGATATCAGACACATCACCAAAACTCCTCGCCTACACTATCTCTTCTATAGCCAGAGTGCGAAGTTCAACAATGACCTGGGTGGCCCTAGAGCATGTATTTAAAACAGCTTTGTTTGAAGAAAGACAGTGTTTCCACTCACACAGATAAACGTAAAGCATCTTTTATTTCAGTTGATACAGAATCAATTGAAGGTGCTATGTACACATTTACCCTTAATAGTAGGTGTTAAAATGAGAATCCATATATTATCTAGTATCAGAAACTAAGATTATTTGTTAGGTCAGTTCCTGATTACATCAGTGCTGCATGCTAACCATTATTCCAGCATCTCTAGTACCAAAATAGATCTAACAATTACACGTCTCTAGGTTCTCATTTGGATCAAGCTGTGGAACATTTACTGTCTTAGCCAGCAAAAATAGATTAAATACAAGACAGAAAAGCAAGAAATTTGACATTCTACCTCCTGATACCATTTAAAAAATGCAGCATCTGACAAATCAAAGCAGATGTTGAAAGACAACATCTTAAAGACTGCAAACAGTTATTACTTTTCATTCAACCTGCACAATTTAAAATGGAACAAATCACAACATGCAAATGAAAATCGCAAAATATGCAAATTAGCTTACATCAAGCAAAACATTTTGGGAAATTACTGCCAAAAAAGCATGAGTACAATTAGAGGTCAGCTTTGAGAAAAAGACTAGGGAGATGAATATGCTGAAAAAGACAGATTTTTAATTTAAATAAATGTACTTATATTATTACCCAACTCTTTATATAAAGTTGGATATATATAAGTATGTCCATGTATATTGCAATTATGTAATCTTATTGCCCAGCTGCTCAATGTAACTATAAGGCATAAACATATTGAGATATTAACATCATGATTGATGATGTGCTTTATGAAAAGTGCTATAAAAATACATTTAGTCTTTTTTGACAGTTTGTTGTATGTCAATGCACATGCAAGTTTATGTGCTTGATACATTAGAGGCAGACTAAGATATTTGGAGCACCTCTTGAAGGAGTAGGTCAGTTTTAATAGCCAGCAAACACCTCCGCATATCCGACTTCAAGCTCAACTACCCGGCATAAGCTGCAACATAAGTGGACAACTGCCAACTTCAGGCTATATTTACTCTTTTAAAATCAACTTAAGAGCAAAGCACAGCCAGAAATAACAATTCAGTCATCATTTACTCATCCTCATGTTGTTCCAAACCCATATGTCATTTTTGCTTTTGTGGAACGCAAAAGGATTGATTAAGCAGAAGGACAGTTTCAGTCACCATTCACTTTCATTGCAAAAAGATCCACTGAAAGTGAATGGTAACTGAGTGATTGAGTGACTGAATGGTGACTGACTGATTCTGCCTAACCTTTTCCTAAAGAAATATAGGTTTCCTGTATTCTTAGTTGAAATGACCACATGACCACAATTTGATTTACATTTTATGAATTAACGCAAACTAAAACACATGCAATAAGTGCTTCATTCATTGTCTCATGCATAAGTCTGAATTGTGCATGTGTTACAGCAAGACATTATCTAACATACATGATTCTACTCGTGACAATTATATATACAGCCTGCAATGACATATAATTACCACATCCCATAGGCTACAGTAAATTAAGTTCATTCATTTTAGCGAGGGAAATGTATGGCAAGCTATTTAAACATTGATTCTTTTATTAACAGTATCTACTTTTATGTTACCAGTAGCTTTTTTTTATTACTAGTAAGTAATTTAGTGTAACTTTTACATTTTAACTATTCCATAATACAATATACAATAACACTTATTCATTACAAACTATTTCTGATTCCTTATAAAACTACACAAATATTTCTTAGTTACTAAAATAAGTCCTAGCATATATTCCAGTTATCCTATAACAAACTGAATAATAACACTCATTTATTAAACTATAGAATCTATTCCAGTTGTTACCAAGAATAATTTTAAATAAGTGATTGAATCCATAATAGTTAGTATTCAAAGTGACAGTAATGTATAGCTGCTAGTGAAATTGGGAAAGTTATTAGTTAGTATTGAATTTATTACTAGACGTGTATAAATAAGTACTAGTAATAAAAAAGATACTAGTTTTAAGGCATAAATGTTAAAATGGCTTGCCACGACAATGAGGCTAGTAGGCTGGCTCATAACTACAAGTTCTTGACTCATACTTTTAGTCTAAAATATTGCAGTCTCAGTAATCAGGGTGCATTTAAAATTTTAAAGTTATATGACTTTTTTTGGTTGAGGTAAACAAGGAGGACAAAACTGTAGTGGTAGTGTAGTGGCTTTGCTCTGGAGATGACCTAATCGCTGACACAGTTATGCAACGCCTAAGTTTAATACATATTAAATATACATATTTGACATATATATGACCGAGGCGATGTGTTTTACATATGCGACCGTGCATCTTTATGAACATCACTTTCTGTTCAGGACACAAACTTGTTTTTTAACACTGGTCACAATGCAGTCAATGGAAAGTGTTATAAAATAGCTCAACCCCCGACTCTTTAAAACATGAATGTATCCTACCTGACAACTTAAACAGTCTTGCTTTTCGTACAAGACGCACGTCTCAAAGCAGGTCTCCGTCCTGTCCGGCTAAGTAAAATATAGTCCTGAAATTCCAGTCAAGCCTCAGCGTCAGTTTGACACACTTCAGTGCCGACTGCTCTCTCACACCGCTGCCCTGGATCTCTCGAGCTCGCAGCATGACCTGAATTCAAACTCCTCCCACCGCGCGCTCCTATTGGTCAACCCCCGCTTATTTGCATGCGGAAAATACGGAAATACCAGAAGCGCGCTGTGATTGGCCGAAAGGACCGCCAGTCTCTTTACATAAGTATGTCATACGTCTCACGTGGACTGCTGAGTCTGGGCAAATCAGTAGTAAGAGGAAGCTGGTGAATGGGACGCTGACAAGGGAAAACTGCGTGGTTGGTTCAGGAAAGCCGAGTGCGTTGAAGTGTTATACAAACGGTTATACAAGTGTGTGTACAGTCAATGTGGTCTCGCCCTGTATGCGCGAAACACGGCATGCGATGCTATTAGAATAGCTTGGAATATACATGCGTGATTGCTCGAAATCATTCAGTGCGAATTTTAGATACATTAGTGCATTTAGAATATATATTTATAACAATCTGTAATAATTTCAGGCACATTTGTCATTTCATAACATAGCATCTCACATAACATAATACGTAACATCTCATACAGATGCTATTGCACAACATCTCATCTACATGAAAATATATAGGCTATATAAGGCTTTACCTACATGTTTCAGAAAGCACTTTGCACACAATAATAAAACAGTGTGCTTGGGGAAACACTCTCTCTGTTTGGACTCTCTCCATCTCCATCTGATAGAAGATCCTGCCTTTTGCCAATATTATAATTGTGCTTTCTCTTGTTCGCATGCATTTATTTTTTACTTCAATAGAGAGCACACAGGCAATGTTCTGATTTGAGCTGCTAAAACAGGCATTTGTGTGATGGGTAAACATGATTTATGCTCTAGTGAATTGTGTTGATTGCCGCGATAATGATTTCCAATCATACATAGTTATATTAGTTCCATCTACCATTTGAGCAATATCACATGAGCAAGAGTGCTGTTGTACTGAATATGGCACAAGGCTGTATGAAATCCAATGTAATAAAAAAAAATCTCAAAGAAGATGGATAAGAAGTTTTCTAAGATCTCTTTCTCACTTCTTCTCCTCTCTCAAACACACAGAGCTCTTAAAAAGAAATAAAAACTCTCAATAACACCAGATGGCCCAGATGGCGTCTATCTCTACAAGGATCCACAAGACTGTCAAATCATACCAGACCATTTCGAAGAACTCTCACAGATACGGAAACACTTTCTTTCTGTCTGTCACACTTTATAATATTAAGCAAAAACGTATCCTTTATAAATCCTCAATTGCTCTCTATTCACAAGGCAGGTATTTTATTATACAAGCAAATGCATATGAATTATTAACAGCTGATCATTAGTGTGATGTCTACATACTGCTAGCAGTTTCTGAGCACTAATGAACCCTAAAGACCATTGTATTAATATTTTAAAGGATTTGATCCAGTTAGCACAAAGAGAACATTGTGTTCTCCGGTGAAATTAAGTATGAAATTAAAATATTGAAAAATGAAATGTGTGATACTACAGTGAGGCCTGATAGTGAGTACATAAATGGATTATATGACAGAATCAGAGACAGAAAAAACGGGCTGAATGAGGATGCAAATCAAAAAACTCACTCTAAATGTTCAATCAATCCAATAGGGACATGTGGGTGTTTGTTGTCCCAACGGAAGCAATTTATGCCTGAAAAAAGCCGTGAGTCAGTGAATTAAGTGGGACTCACTCTAATAGTTCCTCTTTTATCAGATCCTCACCAGATAAAGGCTGTTTTGCTGTGTTTGTGTGTGCTTGTCATTGGTTCTTTATTTGGGTTTCATGAAATGCTGTGAAAGTGACGCACATATAATATAACCGAAGGCCAAAACAATCCCATAACAAGGCTCTTGAATGACCTATTATTGGAGTGATTTTCTGCAGAAAAGAGTACACTCATTGTTGTATTATGGGTTAACTTTTTTTTTTTTGGAATGAATGACATCTCAGCGTGCTACGTCCACACCAAGAGCGATCACTATAATGAGATAAAGTTTTAACAATCGGTCTAATTCTATGATAATAGGGAAGTTCACACCACAACTATGACAATAATGTCACAGAGGAACAATATCGTTGGAATTACTTTCAGAACTATTTTTTTCCGACTGATGACGGATAAAAACATTGACAGACAATCAAAATCCACCCGACTTATTAAAGCAGCAGATGACAAAACTGCACACACATTTATAAAAAACAGAACATTATCCGCTGGTGAGAACACTTATAGTTATCTTTATAGTTACCGTTTGTGGTGTGAATGGGCCTTTATAAATGATGAAATCAAATGAAATCATATTTCTGTCACTCTCAAAAAAAAAGGTACAAAAGCTGTCACTTTTGTTGTTGTAAAAAATGGGTAATTAATGAAGTTTATTAAAAGTTAACAATACCTATTTCATGTATTACAGAGTTTCCAATTGCTTTGGCCTTAAAGAAGCTAATTTCCCATTTAAAAGAACACACTGTTCTAAGGATGTAATTTCATTGAGGAACGTGAAATTACATCTCAGATTTTTTATTTATTCTCCTGCACTTTATGACAACATTTTAAAAAGCTATTAAACTTAGTTTCGTTGCACATTTAGCACATTTTGAAGTCTTCTGTAGAAAGTAGCTCTTACTGCTTGGCGTCTTCACCCAGATTTTCCACTGTCTGCTACATCTGTCTGGAAAAGAAAAAGGGGAGTTGTCTTTTGGATCATGTCCTGAACATTACATCACCAACCACATATATAACCCAGCAGCAGACATGAGCCGGACGGAAAAGGTTCTGGCATGTTGCCTGGTGTCTATGAACCCTTCCCTCAAACTTCCACCCCTCCTCTCTCTTTTCTCCTGGAATTTAGTATGAGTTAAGCAGACAGCAGTGCCTGTACTGCCATACACGAGCCAATTGTATCGTAAGGGGGAAAGTATTTAGTTTTTGCATGTGGAGCAACGTCATAGAGCTCCATGACAGAGCATTTTATGTATGGGATTACAAAATGAAGCACGTTTTTATCCTGCCAGCATTTTTGCCAAAAAAGAATCCAGGAATAAAAATCATCGTCACTTGATTATTTAATTAGCAATTTTTTTAAAAAGATTATTTAATCAGGAATTAGATATAAAAAACACCATTCCATACATACCACACCATATATGTATCAAAGTCGATTGCAATTGCAAACAAATGTGTATATTTGTATATATGTAAATACTTTTACATATTAAATACCATTAATCAATGACTAAAAGTCAAATCTTTTATATTCTACTTTCTTTTTCAAGCAATTATGTCATTCACCATGCTTCAAAAAGAATTTAAGTACACAATTTTACACAAAAAGTAAAAAAAAAACCTTTAACAAAGCACACAAAGTTTTTAAACAAACAAATAAAGTTAGTTTAGTTTTTCTTGTAAGAATTTAAATGATTAAATTCACTAAAATGACTATTCAATGATCAATGATTATATATACTGTATATTTATATATACGCAGACATGAGCCGGACGGAAAAGGTTCTGGCATGTTGCCTGGTGAAAGTGTGCTGTCTACCATGAACACTTCCCTCAAACTTCCACCCCTCCTCTCTCTTTTCTCCTGGAATTTAGTATGAGTTAAGCAGACAGCAGTGCCTGTACTGCCATACACGAGCCAATTGTATCGTAAGGAGGAAAGTATTTTGTTTGCATGTGGAGCAACATCATAGAGCTCCATGACAGAGCATTTTATGTATGGGATTACAAAATGAAGCACGTTTTTATCCTGCCAGCATTTTTGCCAAAAAAGAATCCAGGAATAAAAATCATCGTCACTTGATTATTTAATTAGCAATTTTTTTTAAAAGATTATTTAATCAGGAATTAGATATAAAAAACACCATTCCATACATACCACACCATATATGTATCAAAGTCGATTGCAATTGCAAACAAATGTGTATATTTGTATATATGTAAATACTTTTACATATTAAATACCATTAATCAATGACTAAAAGTCAAATCTTTTATATTCTACTTTCTTTTTCAAGCAATTATGTCATTCACCATGCTTCAAAAAGAATTTAAGTACACAATTTTACACAAAAAGTAAAAAAAAAACCTTTAACAAAGCACACAAAGTTTTTAAACAAACAAATAAAGTTAGTTTAGTTTTTCTTGTAAGAATTTAAATGATTAAATTCACTAAAATGACTATTCAATGATCAATGATTATATATACTGTATATTTATATATACACATATTTTTTTTGAGCATTTAATTGTTTTTTAAATGATTAAATTCACAAGCATTTGCAGGTTTTTAGCTACACCTTATAATTCTTATAACCTTTAATCAATGGCTCATAAGTTTTGTATTGTGTTGAACATTATATATATATTTGCTGTGAGCTATTTTTTTTGTTTAAATGATTAAATTCACAAGCATTTTGCATGGTTTTAGCTACACTTCACTCTTAAAAATAAAGGTGCTTCATGATGCCATAGAAGAACCTTTTTGTCTAAATGGTTCCATAAAGAACCTTTAACATCTGAAGAACCTTTCTGTTTCACAAAAGGTTCTTTGGGGCGAAAGAAGGTTCTTCAGATTATAAAAAGGTAAGAAAGAGGTGGTTCTTTAAAGAACCTTTGACTGAATGGTTCTTTGTGGAACCAAAAATGGTTCTTCTATGGCATCGCTTGAAGAACCTTTTGAAGCACCTTTATTTTTAAGAGTGTATTTCTAAAACAATATGTCAGAGGACGAGAATATGACATCATTCTCCTTCAGATATAGATTCCATTCATGAAAGTGTTAATGAAGGACACCAGAGAACCATAAACAAGAATTTACTTTTAATGCCCACCTCTCTCCATGACGTAAATCCTTAAATACAGAAACGTGGGTTTGCTCATGGCTTATCAGACGGTGTGGAGGTTTGTAAAGTGTTTCAAGGAGACGACAGGTTTAAAGTTTAAAATAAAAACTCACAATCACACAACAACCACGATTGACTATTTTT